GTGATGATTAAGTTTCCTTTTCTGTAGAACAGTTACACAACAGCTACCCTGTTCTTCCAAGGAAGCAACCTGGGAGAATTCAGTGCAGCTCAAGCATAACTTAAGTGCAGGCCTGGCAGTGTGGAAGAATTCCTGAATAACCCAGAACCGGGGATTTTAGTTCCTGAAAAAGAGGGGGGAAAAAAAAGCAAACACAGGAAGACGGTCTTCTGTGGATACAGCAGTGTTCCAGAGCAGGCTATGTGCCAAGGATGCTTGTTTAATGAGGCTTCCTGGCTCCTGGGTACTGAAACTTAGGTTAGACCAACTTCAGCAAAAAGGGAGGTTTCGTTTTGATAGATGATAGTAAAACTCACAGGATCCAAGGAAATGTTGCAGGGGCTTAGGCACTCTGGGTACTGGGACCAGGTCCTTGAGGCTCATCTGGGTCTGGACCTGCTTCAGCTTCCATTCTGCTTTCTCAGATGTCACCACGAGGTTGTCCTACCACTGGGAATCCTTGTGAGGAGAGTCCCTACCATTGCAGTAGCTAGTCTGTCTTCAGAAAAGCCTGGGGAAGGGTCCAAACTCGTGGGTCCTTCTCTATTATGGAAGAGTTTTGAAATTAGCCATCTATACCAGAGCTGTGTGAAGATTAAGAGGAAGCAGTTTCTGAGATGGGGGATGCTTTTAGGGAGGATGGAACACCCCATATTTCATGGAAGGAAAGAGACCTCATGTCCCAACTGTGTTGGGATATATCTAGTCAAGTTCCCAAAGCTGAACAGAATAGATTTACTCAGCAAATGTTAGAATTTTGGTTTTAGAGATTTGTGTACATGCTGAGGCAAGAGCTAGCTCATAGTAGGCAGTAAGGGAAAAGGACCCATGCTGAAAACTATACATCTCCTATATATGCTACTGTGGGAGTGGGTGTTAAGGTAAAAAGAGAATATAAGGGTTAAAAAAAAATGAAGCCAAGAGCACTAAAGATAGAGACAAAGATACATGCATCTGGATATGAGATATCCAAGTGGACCATAAGAGACAAATAGGCTCCAGGAAACAAGACCAGTGATAACAGGCTAGCTGGCTAGCTTCCAAAAGACCTTTCCCTTTTGGGAGATACTTGCTAGGTACTGTTGCTTATTACATATTCTTGCTTTTAATGCAGCTAATTATAATAGTCTGAGATGTAGTAAGGATGGCTGATAACATGCCAGCACATTATCAGGAAAGAGATCCCAGACAGTACTGTAGACAAGGCAATAATCAAGAACACGGCAGTGAGAATGAAGAGAGCTCCATATAATTAACAGTACTTGGGACACCCTAAAGGTCAGGAGATAACAACAACAGCAGTGACTGTAGATAGTCAGGATGAAGACTAACAAAGCCAGGGCACTCAGTGCAATTAACATTAAGCAAGACACCTACAAATGGGAAAGAAGTAACCCTAGCCAAATAACTGACAGCTTGCATATAGTCATGGCCAGTAAGCCAGAGTCAGAGGTGGACAGAAGGGCCTTCAACTAACCTTAACTAGGGGAGCAGTGCATGAACATCAGATGATTGTCTTATTGTTTGGACCAGGGGAACATGTTGAATGTATGTGGGCCTTCCTTTGGCTTCACCCACGAGAGCCCCAAGAATTAATCATTCTCAATAGAGATTACCTCGGTCTTTTGTCCAATATCTGCCATTGCCCTATAAAAACCTGGACAAAGGAAATGTTTCTTCTGTCTTGGAAACTCCACCCTCTCTCAAGAGTTTCTTCTCACTTTTTCTTAAGTTCTTGGTTTTTCTATGATAATTCTTTTTTTTTTAAGATTTATTTATTATGTGTACCGTGCTCAGCCTGCATGTATGCCTGCAGGCCAGAAGAGGGCACCAGATCTCATTACAGATGGTTGTGAGCCACCATGTGGTTGCTGGGAACTGAACTCAGAACCTCTGGAAGAACAGCCAGTGCTCTTAACCTCTGAGCCATCTCTCCAGCCCTTCTATGATAATTCTTAATAAGGCCTGTTTCCATCTTGCATACTCCCATGAGAATCCGTGTCATTAATCTTCATTGGTGTGAGACAGCATTACTCAGCACCACTGTCCCAGGTTGATTTTCTTATAAACCTGAACATCCAGCATCTTAAGTCCTTAGGTCATGCATAACTTGACTGTGAAAGGTCCCATCACACTCAGAAACTCTGCATCAGTGCTTTTGTATTCTGTACAGATGCCTATGATATAATGTTAAATGAAAAAGGCAGGTCACAAAATACTTTGTGTAACAGGTTCTGTTCCCATAGAAACTACGTATTTCTGTATATGTTTGGATGAGTATTTTGTCTGCATGTATGTCTATATACCATGTGCATGCAGTGCCCACAGAGACCAGAAGAGGGCATCGGATGCCATGGGACTGGAGTTATAACAGTTTTGAACTGCTGTGTGGGTGTTGGGAATCAAATCTGGGTCCTTTGGAAGAGCAGCCAGTGCTCTTAACCATTGAGCCATCTTTCCAGCTCCAACTGTATTATGTTTTTAATTTGCAAAACATCAGTAAAGAAAAAAAAGAATAGGAATCTATTTCCAGTTGACTACAGAAGATTTGGGGACTTTTTGCTCTTGTGCACACAGATAAGCACTAGAGAAGCCAGGAAAGTTAAACCCACAGGCATCCTTCAAAGGAAGGAGATGCTTACCTGTCTTTCTGGAATGCTTGGAATGGATATAGTTTACAACCTGGTGATCCTTTGCTATCTGTTGAGCCAACCTCCACCCACATCCCCCAGAATTTATGCTTTACTTATCCTACACCCTTTTACCTAAATCTTGAGCATTGCTTCTAGGCCATGAAACCCATCCTTATGAGTGATGTCATTTCTGCCTTATATCAGTCTAAATGACTTCAATGTTAACACCCACAGTCATTATGTTTACCTCAGTCATTCTCCTTAAATCCTAAATCTTGGGCTCCATTTCTAAGTCAACAGTACCCATCTTCTCTGTGAAAGAAACTTAAACACATCTTAAGCTTTGCTATACTCAGGGGACTGAGTTAACTGTTATCAAAAAACTTTTTATTTCCCAAAATTGCTGTGCTTAAATATGGCTAAAATAAACCAACTGATCTTAGACTCTCAAAGTTTGGCTGAGCACCAGTTACCTAAGTTGGACTGATCGAGTTTCATTCTTCTCTTACCTGGATTATTTCCCTGCTGCCTGCAAGGACTCTGTTGTGGAATATTTGTTTAACCAGCCAAAGATGTGTTAACATTTGTTCATGCTGCATTTGTTAACTATGTAAAGACGTGTTGCATTTGCGTAAATTAAATAAAATTAACCTGGGCCCAGAGAGGCGGGGTTAGCAACTGGTTGATAGGAAGTAAGAGAGGGGAGCTTAGCTTTTTTTTTTAGTTGGGAGTACAGTACAGAAGGGAGTGCCTTCTGGGATGCCAGTAAAGAGAGAAAGTTAGCCAGTGCGCGCTCGCGCTCGCGCTCTCAAGTTTTCGAGACAGGGTTTCTCTGTAGCTTTGGAGTCTGTCCTAGAACTTGCTCTGTAGATCAGGCTGGCCTGGAGCTCACAGAGATCTATCTGCTGCCTGCCTCTGCCTCCCGAGTGCTGGGATTAAAGGTGTGCACCACCACCTCCCAGCTGCTACTCTCTTCCTAAGCGCGAAGGTTTTCACCCTAGCCTTTGAGACTTTTATTAGAACGATAGAGATTTGGTTAGAACTACGTTTAGCATCAGCAACAGAGCCATTGCCTGGGGGAACAGAATTCCCTCAAGGCTAAAGTGCAGCCACTGTAGAGAAGGTAAAACAACAGACCTACCCTCCATCCCCAAGGAAATGACCTACTACCCAGTTCTTAGTCTTAAATGTGGCTGGTGGCTGCTGCATTGGAGAACACAGTTCCATAACTGGAAAATTCTAGCATGAGACAAACATTTTGAAAGCCTAGACATTTTATTTTTCCAAGACAAACAATCTGGGTTTTGGTGGTCTCGTTAGACATGGTCTCACTATGTTGACCAGGCTGGTCTGGAACTCATGGGGATCTGCCTGTCTCTGATTGCAGAGTGCTGGGATTAAAGATGTGCAAACCTATTGAGGCAGGATATCTTAAACCTAGGTCTCTAGCCCGCTTGTTCCTAGGGTTCCCTGTTTCCATCTTCAGAAGAAGCGGCAATTAGAGATGGACTGCCATGTCCACTGGCATTTATGTAGACCCTGGGGATCCAAACTCCCATTCTCTTGCTTTGTGGCAAGCACTTTAATCACTGTGCCATCTCATCTCCCCTGCCCTGTTCTGGTTTTTTAATGAGCCATGGTTTACTTTGGAGTGCCTCTTCCTGAGCCAGTGATCTGTTTTAGTTAGGGGGGCAGTGTTCTAGCCTTTCTCTTGGCCAACTATTTTTCATACTGAATTTTGGAGTCTGTCCTAGAACTTGCTCTGTAGATCAGGCTGGCCTGGAGCTCACAGAGATTTATCTGCCTGCCTCTGCCTCCCGAGTGCTGGGATTAAAGGTGTGCACCACCACCTCCCAGCTGCTACTCTCTCCTAAGCTTTATATGAAGCTTTCTGGATATCACTCTTAACCCTTTACTCCCACCTCACTGTCCAGTTATGAAGATGGTCTCAGGTTTTATGGGATGATTGGTAGAGGTTCTGCATCTGTACTTGGAACATATTCTTTATTCTTCAATGGACATGTTCTTTGAAGAGACTTGCTTTATCATTTTCTTTGAAAAAAAAAATTTTTTTTTAGACCAGAAACCTGAATCCCTGTTCACAAGGCTCTGTTAAAAAAGAAAAACAGTGATAGGCGAAGGAAGGAGGGATCATGACAAACGTCCCTCCTGGAACTCAGATACCGTGTGAAAAGGGCAGCCTGTTAGAGTCAGTGGAAAAGAGCAAGGTAGCAGAAGGAAAGGTGGTCTTCCTGGTAAGGCATGACTCCTTTTTATAAATCCATGGTCATGTTTTCTCTGTCATTTCCACTTTGTTCTTTATACCAGGTTATCAACCCCATGGGGTGGGATGCATTTGGATTGCCTGCCGAAAATGCTGCCATCGAGAGGAATTTGCACCCAGAAAGCTGGACTCAAAGGTAAATGTTTAATGCATACTCAAACACTTGTATATGGGAACCTTTTTAAAATATTTTTAAGTCTATGCATGAGAGAGACCAGGAAGCAAAAAAGAACAAACACAAAAACCACCACAACATTGGCAAATTGCCAAGAGGAAAATAAACAGGAAGGTGTGCACTGGTGTTTGTCTAATTAGTTAGTTAGTTAGGGGGCAAGGTGCATGTGTCACAGTGGCACATATGGAGGTTATGGGACAATTTATGGGAGTAAGTTCTCTTCTCCCATTTTGTGGGTTGTGGAGATCAAACTTGGGCTGTGAGGCTTGGAAGAAAACACCTTTACCCACTGAGCCATTGTGCAGCTCCTGATGTTTGCCTTTTAATACTCTGTATTCCTAAGAAATACCAAGGAAGGTTGGTGTTTGTTTATTCAGAGGTTGTTTGGATGCTTGTTATTTACCAAGCTATTCTTTCTTGGAGCACTTACCTTTATGAAGAAAGCAAAGTGGAGAAAATTGCATTTGTTCAGTTTCAACAGGCTTCTTGTCTTTTAGACCTGAGTTTGACTATATCATTCTCATTTTCTGTGAAAATTTAATTTTTGTTTTCATCATTTATGAGCAAGGAACAACTTAGTGTAGCTAAGTGAGGCTAAGTATGGCTTTTTCTTAACGCCCCATGGCTCAGACTTCCCAGCCTCTCCCTGCTGGTAAAGTACAGAACACCTTATACTAGAATCTTCTCACCCTTCATATGCAGAAGGGCAGTTCAAGGGCCTGTCTTTGGAGCCTCCACTGACTCTTCTCTTCTCCTTTCCCCTCCTCTCCCTTTACCATCTGCCCCCCTTTCTTTAAGAAGAATATACATGAATGTATAGGTATGGGACCCCATACATGTGCTCAGCTGAACATGTCCACTGGGAATCCAAAGCAGGATGTCAAGTGTCTTCCTGTATCACTTTACTGTTCTGAAACAGGGTCTGTCATTGAGCTGGAAGCTTACTGTTTTAGCTAGTCTGGCTGGTCAGTAAGCTCTCAAGACCTGCCTGGCTCTATCTGCTCCAAGGCAAGGATTACAGCATGCAAGCCATGCTTGGCATTTTACATGGATTGTGGGGATTTGAATTCAGGTCCTTGTGCTTGTAAACCGAGCACTCTTATCTCCCCCCGCCCCCAACTATCCCCCACAACACATACACACAAAGTCTCCCCAGCCCCTTCACCAGTCTTATTTCTACCCAAGGCTGCATGGCAGGAAACTCACTGTGTTCTCTTTCCATCATATAATTAATTCTAGATTAATGGAAGTGATATAAAAGGATAAAAGGATAAAATGACAACTCTAATAAAGTAGACCAAATGTGGCATAAGTTGATTCCCAGCAACAAGAACTAAATTGACTAGTGCACTTCTCTGTTATCCAATCTCGGGGCAGGTTTAGGTTCTGATTGACAGAACACTGTGTGGTTTCTTTTGAATTTCCCAAGTTTGTACATTAAGAGTGGTGTGTGTGTGTGTTTTGTGTGTGTAGGTGTAACATTCACACACACAGTTCTGGGGATTGAATCCAGACCTTACACATGCCAGGCAAGAGCTTCTTCCACTGAGCTCCAAGCCAGTCTGGACATAAAGGTTTTTATTTGTTCATTTGTTTATTTATTTATATTTTAGATCTCTTTAAAACTTGCTTGCTTGACTTAACTCTATATAGAACATAGACATATGGAGAGTCCAGGATCATACATTCTAGAGGTTGCTTGTCGGAGTGGCCAGGGGAAGGAGCTGCCTTCAGGGCCAAGACCAAGGTGACATCTAGTGATGAGCAGGTCCAGATCCTGTATGTCTGCTTGCATATTGCATATTGATATTTTACTGACTCTTACGGTTTGGCCTTTTGTTTTTCTGCCAGGGCAAAGCAACAGTTAAGGCTTCCTTGACTGAGCTAGACTTTTTAAGTTTTCTAAAACATCCTTAAAATGTAGTTCATCTATGGCCCTGACTTCCTCTCAAAGTCAAACTTGCTTCCCTTTGTTCCACAGCAATATTAAATACATGAAGAAACAGCTTGACCGCCTCGGCCTGTGCTTCAGCTGGGACAGGGTGAGTTGGCCTTTCTTCCTGGGGGCTCGGCTCTGTTCAGGGAAAGGCCTGATTGTGTGGGGCTCTTCCTCCTGTTCGTGTTGGGAGAAGGAGGGGAGTTGAGAGGTCACAGGAGGGAAGGCTTAGTACTCCACAAACACAACAGAACCTGAGTGGGTATTTTGCCTGTGAATAAGTAATTTTCTGTGGGATTAAGCTAAGAGAGTTAACTTATTTGACTTCATAATGGGCTGTGCTGTGTGTGTAGCAAAGGCTTTGCACAAGGATTTCTGGCTCATAGAAAGAATTTAAAGGGGTTATTGGAATCCACATTAAAGTGATTAAATATTAACCTGCTGGTCCTCTGGGTGATTAACTGGCCATATATTTATATTTTATTCTGTGCTCAGAATCAGTAAACACACAGTTCTGCCACATACAGTCTTTGGTCTGTATCTCTATCAAAAAGTTACACACCTAGGGGCTGGAGAGATGGCTCAGTGGTTAAGAGCACTAACTGCTCTTCCAGAGGACCTGGGTTCAGTTCCCAGCACCACATGTCAGCTAACAACTGTCTCTAACTCCAAGATCTGGCACCCTCACACAGACATACATGCAGGCAAAATACCAATGCAAATGAAATAAAAGTACCTAAGTTATTATTATTTTTTTTTAAAGTTACACACAAAAGCCATTGGGAAATACCAGACTCAGGAGGGTTCACAGAGGATCATGCCAGCTGTGAAAAAGACCTTTAGAGTCCCAGGCATTAGAGGAGTAAGCTGCTGGGTAAAAGCTGCTGTTTGTCCTTCACTGAAAGGCCCCATCCATGCTATGATCCCTCTTATCACCCACTCACTCTGCAGACTGAGTGGGGTTTTACTGAAGCATTGGGATAAATGTAAATTCAAGTCCCTTCCCTTCCTAGCAACCTCTTGAATGATTGATACAAGATGAGTATGGTGGAAAAAGACAAAGGCCGTGCTGCTAAAAAGAACAACTGTCCATTTAAATTTGTTTAAAAAAATTGTTTTGTTTTGGGGCTCTCCCATAGGAAATTGTGGGGGTCTGCAAAGGGAAAAACTGGTTGTGACCTTTTATTAGGGGTGAGGGTGAGGGACTTGGACTTGGGAGTGAGGATATTCTTGTAGCAGTAGGGGGCTACATGTTTCTCCTTCCTGAAATTGTTTGCCCAAGGTGAAATAATTTTTTTAAACAAATTTAAATGGACAGTTGTACTCTAAAGGATCTATTGACTATTTAGTGTCTTGATTGTAAAACAGGATTCCTACAAGATTACACATGACCATGTTCAGTCTTTATTGGTCAGCCCCAAGCCCCAGTGACACACTTTCTCCAAGGCCATGCCTACTCCAATAAGTTCACACTTTTTAATCCTTTCAAATAGTGCTGCTCTCTAAGCATTCAAATACATGTGCCCTTGGGGTCCATTCTTACACAAACCACCACACCATCCCTTGTCTTAAAAAACCAAAAATAGCAAAACTTTTAGGACACACCTAGAAGTTGGCAGGGCACTGCAGATGTTTTGCATATTATAAGATCACAATCAGGAATTGACACCAGTATGATACTGTTAGCTAGAGCTTAGCTCTTACTCAGATCCCCTCCCACATCTGCAGTATTGTGCTGTTTAGTCACTTGCAGGTTTGTGTGACCACCAGCTGCTCCATTGTCTGTTTGATAGGAATGTCTAAGGTCAGCCAGAGTCATCTCTACCTGCGGTCCACTTTACATGCCCATTTTGATGCTTCCTGGAATTGTAGGGGTGGTGGTGGTGGTGGTGAGGTATTGTGGCTCTCTGTTTCAGAAGTTTCATTTTGGTAGGATGGTTTGAATTTCTGGGCCATGGTGAGGTAGAGCATCATGTTCAAGCAGAGCTGTTCCCTCATGGCAGACAGGAAGCTGAGACAGTTTTCTAGGAGTCTCTTTCTCTGCCCTGGCAACTTAACACTGTCCTCAGCATCTATTCCAGTGTGGATCCTTTGGTTTTAGTTTTGCCTGCTGTTTAGTATATGAATGCTCTTGCCCAGGATCCTTCTCAAGAGCTGACTTTCTCTAAGCTCAGGGCCTACGCAGCCCTCGGTCCCACCTTGGTCACCAGTCTTTGAATCTTTTTTCTTCTACTTTCTGGAAAACTTGTTGTTTTTATGTAGAACCAATGTTGTTTTTAGTGTTGGTACTAATTTGTTTTTGTATTTTTAGATTTTTTATTATTTTCTTTAATTCATCCAGCCCCATTTTTCTTCTCAAGAAAAGAAATGCCTTTTCCTAGCTAGGTGCCTTTTCCTTATTTTGCTGTTATGTTCATCATAGACCATATATGTTCAGAAGTTTTCTGGAGTACAAATAGATATTTAATGAAAATTCATTTTTGCTACCTACAATGTCTTTCACAGTTTAGAATGTTGCATCCTCCTTGTTTGTTTCAGAATCTCTCCTGGACTGAGTTTTCTGCTGTTTTCTTCCTTAAGACAGAGGTGGGATAGTGTGTGATTGAAGAGACCCATCAGTCCGAGGGGAGGAGAAGGGACAAAATGAGGAGGCCAAGGGCCACTTTATTTAATTGACGAGATAAAGCTGTGCTCTTTGCAAGCCATAGTCCCAAAGTCTCATAGAAACCAGCAGATGGCTAAGGGACAAGTAGCCACATATTTGAAAAATAAGATAGCTCGGCAGTGCTAGCTTGTCCCCAGACAGAAAAGACATCGCCTTGTAGTCAGGTCACAGCTTCGTTATCCCTGACTCCCTGGGTAAGAAGGCCTATAGGAGGGCCCAGCTCTTGAGCTATGTGCTCATTGTCCTTACAGCAAAAGATGAATTCTCTGGATTGTGAAGCATACGTTCCTAGAATTAATGTGTTTCTAGTGAGCCAAGATGATTGTGAAGTGTTCTCAGGACCTCCTGTGCTTCACTCTTTCAGATGTTATTCCCAGAGCAGTGTGTGCCGTGTTGAGAAGAAACTGAAAGCTGAATGCAACTAGCTCAGCATCTATTAAAGGGAGAGGAGAGAGGGAGAAAGAAGAGAGAAAGGAGTGGGGAGAGAGGGCTTTTATTTGTGAAGCACTTACTTTCTGGAATAATTGGTAGACTTTCTGAAAAGGTGTAGACTGTGTTTATGTTAGTCAACTTACCATTACTAACAAATACCGAGATTATCGACTCACAGAGAGAAAAAGACCATCCTGGCTCACAGCCTAGGAGGATCCATGATTGATTAAGTCTGTGGAGAGGAATTAGCATATCATGGCAAAGAGCATGCCAAAGAGCAGAGCTGTTCACTTCATAGGCAGGAATGGATGGCAGAAAAGGGAGAGGAAGAGACTGAGGATATGGCCCCTGAATGAAAAAAAGAAATAATGTCTGAGTGAGGTAACCCAGAGCCAGAAAGACAAACACGTTATGTACTCACTCATAACAGGCTACAATCCACAGCCCCAGAGAAGCTAGGTAACGAGGAGGACTCTAAGAGGAACACATGGATTTCCCTGGGAAGGGAAAATAGATGAGATTTCCTGGGTAAACTGGGGATGGGTGGAGGGAGTGGAGTGGAGGGGAACATGAGAGATTGGGTTGATCGAGTTGAGGTGAGACAGAGTGGGAGAGTAATGAAAGAGATCTTGATAGAGGGGGTCATTTTGGGGTTAGGGAGAAACCTAGTGCCAGGGAAACTCCCAGGAATCCACAGAGATGACCCCAGCTAGGACTCCTAGTAATAGTGGAGAGGGCCTGAACTGGCCTTCTCCTGTAATCAGATTGGTGGCTGCCTATTGTAATCAGAGAGACTTCATCCAATAACTGATGGAAGCAGATGCAGAGATCCACAGCCAAGCACTGGGCTTAGCTCTGGGAGTCCAGTTGAAGAAAGGGAAGAGGGATTGTATGAGCAAGGGGAGTGGGGGAAGATCATGATGGGGGGAACCCACAGAGACAGCTGATCTAAGCTAGAGGGAGCTCACTGACTCTGGACTGACAGCCAGGGAACTTGCATGGGACTGACCTAGGCTCTCTGCTTGTGGTGACAGTTGTGTAGCTTGGTCTGTTTCCCCCAGCAGTGGGATCAGGACCTGTCCCTGGCACATGAGCTGGCTTTTTGGAACCTGTTCCCCATGCTGGGATGCCTTGCCCAGCCTTGATGCAAGGGGAGGAGCTTGGTTCTGCCTCAACTTGATATACCATGCTTTGTTGATGCCCATGGCAGGCGTGCCCCTTCTGAACGGAGGAAGAGTGGATGGGGTGATAAATGGGAGGTGAGGGGAGGGAACAGGAAGAGAGAAGAGAGCAAACTGTGGTTGATATGTAAAATAAATGAAAAATTTAATAGAAAAAAGAAATAAAAAGGAAAGAAATAAAAAAAAATGACTGCTCCTAGATATGGTGAAGGAGGAGGTTTATTATACATATGAGGGAGAGCATAGCCAGAGGCAGGGACATCTGGGAGAGTCCAGAGTGGACATGGCTAGACTGAGCTGGGCCATATGAAGAGAAGGGGGAAGGGAGAGGGGTGAGGAGTCGCTGACCAAGAGGTGGTCTGGGCTAAGAGGCTGGCCAAGAGAGTCAAGGGTAGACGAAAAGAGAAAGGGGGATTGGAATAGCAAAATAGCTGGATTATAGGGAAGGGCAGCTGGGAAAAGGGCAGCCCAGACCCTGGGCTGGAGAAGTGGGGGGTAGGGGGTCTGTATGCCATCTAGGAGGGCCCTTAACAGATAGGGACTGAGGGATGCCGTGAGAACCTGGCAGCCAGATCCACTTTGATGTGATAAATAGGCACATCAGCTGATATTCAGGAGAATGGGTCATTGGTTGAAATCTGAAATTTCTTGGGTTTGGATGAGGACAGGTATTGCCTTTGCCTCTCAAGCTCAGAAGGAAGAAGTAATCTTTGAAGGAAATGATATTGAGCTTCTTTCAGATTCAGTGGCCTAATTTAGCAAGCCACAACAGGTAAAAACAGTGATATCAGAAAGTTTTTGAATGGTATCTTTGTGTCTGAAAAGGGA